GAACGATGTCTGACACTAATTATGTGTCATTCACAAGATAGCCAGGCAGGAAAGCCTGAGGGAATAAAAATCTATTTGAAAGGTTTTCATATGAGGTCTTACTCTTAATTTTTTGAAAGCACTTATATCTCTTGCAGAGCAGCACCTTGCTAATACTGTTAAGGAAGGAAGATACTTTAAAACCTATTAATTAATACTTGAAATGCATTGCTCTTGTTTGAAAGCCCTATATGGAACAGCTTTTACATCTGTTTGTGTGTTTAATACAAAGCTGGGAAAAGACACTTTGTCCTTGTCATACCACCTGCCTTGGTGCTGATACAGGAGAACACACCTAGTCAGCATCTCAAAGCATTCAGAATTTATTAACAGATAGACATAAAACATTGTTAAATAATTAATTTCCCCTTGATCTACTAATAAATCTTAAAAATTCTACATGATTACTGAACAATTCAAAGATTTGTTTTGGGGCCTTGTGTATATGTTACCCTAGATTTATATTTCCCTATACTTTTGTCATGCTTATGGTCAGTTTATGAGTATTATGAAAGTAAGCAAGTCAAGCAGCTTGTCAAGCCAATCTCAAACAGTAATTTACTGTTTTAAATGGGATCGAGTCAATGTCCAGACAGATTCTGGGGTAACAGTCCATCTCTCTTTCCAAGTAACAAGTGATAGGACAAAAGAAAACAACTTCAAGTTATGCCAGAGAAAGATTAGATTGGATATGAAGACAAATTTCTTCACTACCAAGCTTTGGAACAGGCTGCTCAGGGAAGTGTCAGAGTCACCAGCCTTGGTAAAATCAAATAGTGCTCAGTTTTAATATTTCTAAGAATAACTAATTCTATTTTTTTTGTTTGTTTTGAAACCAATTTCGAAGTAGGTCTGAGAAGGCATTGTTTATAGTGAGAAAGCAAACAATTTTGATATGTATAACTTATTGGGAGAAAGTTAAATGACTTGGTAACAGAAAATACCTAGAATCAGAAGTTACCTTTTACATTACTTATCACATTATTATACCAGAAAAATGACAAAAGAAAATACACTGTCTGGGTGCTGAAGCAAAACAAATGCAGATAGGAATATGTGAAGATTTTTAATATCATATACTGTCAAGGTATAGTTGGATTAAGAAGAAGATGAGCTGCCTGTCACTGACTTTTAGAATCAAGACTAAATACTTTTCAGTGAATGGATCAGAGCTCAGGCAGATTTGTTTGCCAGAACAAGGTCTTCAGTCCTCATTACACTGATGCTCAACCTTTTACAGTGAAAACAAACTGATTTCCTAATCACTTGGCCACTGAATATCTGCTACTAATATTGAAGTATTCACACAGGTATTACCAAGCTGTTCGTAGAGTGTAGGGGTCTAAGTTTATTTCATAGTGAAGGTGCACTTCCAGCAGGACTTTGCGTGCTGCACAGGTTGTTGTATATAAACCTATGTAATTTTATTGTCATTTTACAGGATGGATTGCCTGGTAGGATGAACACCATCTTTGTATACAAAGATGAACAGTACATTCATGAGAAAATGAGTGTTTTAAAGTCATAGCACTGCTTTTGCTTTCTATTGACAGGCTTTACCTGTTACTGTAAATATATTATTACTTGCTTTGGACAATTATCCTTTTAAAAAGAGATCCCAAGTTTAGGAAGTACAGAGAGTAAATTTTCTATATGAGCTACTTAAAGGTTTCAATTTGCATGCAACAGTAAAAGTAATAGCTCAGTGACTTGATTTCTGTATTGCAGTTTAGGAAAACATTACACAATTAATTCCCCATAATACTTGCAAAAAATCTGGTTTAATCAGGCATATATTTAGGAGCATTAAACAGATTCAGAATGCCAAATGTATGCCATATACTTAAGTGACTAGCTGTAATAAAGGTGTTACATCCTCCTCTTCAACAACAGTTAATAACTTGGAAAACTACGATGAATTTAATTTCAAAATACAACTCCCGACTACCTGACTTTTTTCCCCTTAGGTGGTTGTGTCTTGTCTAGAATACTTTCATTGAAATCTGTTTATCAGGATAGAATGTATATTCTGTGTTGTTGAAAAGAGTATCTTTTCATTCCTTTTATCTTAAGCTCTGGATATTCCATGGGCTTCCAGAAGTTTAGTTCATAGAGTAAACATTTGTTAACTATTGAGTAAAGATGGTCTTTCTAATAATACAGGGGCTTGCAGAGTCTGTGTTTAGCTACAATGACCTTTTCAACCGAACACAACTATATATATAGCCTTGTGAATACGCTACACAGTTTAGGGCTGTGGAGAGAAGAGAGAACTTCAGACTATCTTTTCTCCTTCCAAGTTATGCTCAGCAATGCAGGAGTGTTCAGAAATAACAATTCTTAAATTTGTAACATAACATTTCCCAGTTCTGCTTAGTTAAACGTTTTTGCCCATTTAAAACCAATGCTAATTTTACAATCTTATAAACAATCTTCTACACCTGTTTAAGTTTATTTGCGTGCTTGAAGATTCAGAGTTTAATAACCTGGAAAATAAACAAAACAGAGGCATGCTTTTACAACATTTTCATTGGTCTGAAATTGAAATTCATGGTTACTTGAGGTCCTGCAATTTATCTCATACTTATGTACAGCATAGTTACAGTCATTAGAATGGAAGGTTGTTCTTTTATGAAGTTATTACAAAATAGTAACTTGTCTCCATAAGATGGGTGAATCAGTAGGTTTCTTTCTAATTTTAACATAAGTGCTCTTGAATTATTTTGCTTTTTGAAGGTTTAAAACTGAAAGTGTATGTATAGATTAGAAATTAGGAAAGACTTCTTCATTGTGCGAGTGGTGAGGCACTGGAGCAGGTTGCCCAGAGGAATTGTGGTTGCCCCACAACTGTGTCTGAAAGTGTTCAAGGAGATGCTAGATGAGGCTCTGAATAACTTAGTCTAGTAGAAGGTGTCCCTGCCCACGGCAGGGGAGTTGAAAATAGGTTATATTTAAGGTCCCTTCTGACCCAAACCATTCTATGATTACACAATGTTACGATTCATTTATTATATCAGCTTTTAGGCCTCATATTTTTATGCTTTCTCTATCCACTCTTTACTTTTTTCCTAGAAAAATGTGGTATTTTTATCCAGGTAATTTTAAGAGACATCTATTTTTTTTATTTTATTTATCCTGCAATATTTTCTAATAATATATCGCTAAAAATAAAAATATTTTTTACACTTGCAACAATGTTATGTATGCGTGCTAAAGCTTCATAAACATAAGGGCAACACTGTTTGTACAAGCATAAATTATATTCAGTGATCAAAACGGATAGCCTGAAAAGCATGGTAGTTTGCTTTGGATAAAGGGATGGAATATAAATAAAAAGCTTCATGAGTTGAGACATTTTCTGAAATGGATGTGTGGGAAAGATAATTTCCAGTTATTGTACAGCAGGGGTGGTTCATCCTATTTCTCAAGCTTTAATTACTTAAGCTCAATTTTAATATTGCTATTTTATAGGCCTTGTGATTTATGCTTTATTGTTTGAACTAGTAACTCTGTCTTGCATTAATCAAAATGCAGATGGGCTTAAAATTAAGGAATAAAAACATATCTTTTTTCCCTTTTTTTCAAGCATGTTACAGATTTGTAAGAAAGCCATACTAATTATGATCAGAATTATGTCAGTGTTTTCCTACCTCTGCTCTTGTAAACATATGCACTGAAAAATATATTATAAATTTATAATATAAATTTATTTATGTTATTCTGACATCAAAACAGTCTGTTTCTTTTCCAGTGAATAAAGTTAGTATGTAGTGAAATGATGGAAATTTTTGTCTTAGCTTTAGAAATGTTTGACATCTCTGTTACTGCATTATTATTTTTGCAAATATACAAGAACCTCAATCTAGCATGCCATGCAGCAGATGTTTTAGGTGTTTCACACCAGAATATGTGACAGCTGAAATTAATTAGATTAACTGATCCTGGCTCATAGAATTTTAGAAAGCCTATACTTCTGATCATCATAAATATTTAGTTGAAATCAAGTGTATATAAAAATGCTGGTGCCAAGAGAACAGGTGTTTTTTAGTTTCCCTTAGGATAAAAAATACTATGGGAACACGATAGCTGAAGAACTGGTTTTCTGTTCATACAAACTTAGATTTCTCCACAGATGCAGTACTTGATTAGGTATAGCAGTACTGTAACACAAGATTATTGGTTACCCATTTACATCCTATTTTGGCAGGCTTACATTATTTTTAGTATCTCATACATTTCCTCATGGCAGAAAGGTAAAGACATATTTCAGAATTCATTTTACTTTTTAGATCATCATTAGCAAGGCAGAGCAGACTGACATTTCTTTGCATCTGACCCTGAGATTAGCTCAGTTGGTCAGAGTATAGTGCTAATAACACCAAGGTGGTGGGTTTGATCCCCATACGGATCATTCACTTAAGAGTTAGACTTGATAACCCGTGTTGGGCCCTTCCAGCTCAGAATAATCTGTGAAATCTGTGTATAGTGTGTCTTTGCTGTTGCAAAGGTGGGGTTGATACTGAGAGATGCCTCTGTTTGGCTTAGTTACTGATATCAAAAGAAGCCCAGAGCTGAGATAAGGGTAATTAGTGGAGGACTTTGGAACCTCACAATGGCTCTTTTGCTTTCTGTGAGCAACGGTGAGAAGAATCAGCTGGCTCTGTGTTTCCCAGATAGGAGCTGTGCTCTCAGCTGACTGGTCTCTTTAGGTCTTAGTGTCCCATGTGTAAAATATAGGACATACTTCCCTAATTCAGCCACGTGCAGGGAGGATGCATACATTCTCACAATCTAAGTAGTTTGAACCATGCAGCAACACCCACTCTGAGAAGCCAGGCTTTCTTCAGCTCTGGAGAGGTACACAGCTGTAGCAGGCTGGAGGTCTCTGCATGTCTTTCACACTCCTGTTTGGTGTTTGCTCTGTGTGCCTTCCTTTCAAATAATTTCTTTCTCTTTTCTAGTTTGAGGGTTGCAAGAAAGCCTTTTCCAGACTAGAAAATCTCAAGATTCACTTCAGGAGCCATACAGGTGAGAAGCCGTACCTTTGCCAGCACGCTGGCTGCCAGAAAGCATTCAGCAACTCCAGTGACCGCGCCAAGCACCAGAGGACACACTTGGAGAGTGTAAGAACGCGACATTCCCCTTGCAGTCCCCTATACATTATACCATATGCTCCTTTCCTCCAGCTTAGTGGCAGCAGGTAGCCTTAGAAACAGGAGGGTGGAGTGTCTAATGAGGCTGTTGAAACTGTTTCAGAACTGACCCAGTAATGTAAGCATGGAAGAAGATGGGTCAATCTAGTTGATAAAAAGGCTACAGGTCTGGGGTCTTTGCTGAAGGTAGAGGAAGTGACTTTCTCCCACTTAGCTGAGCTTTAGGGAAACTAAAACAATCTGCGATAATAACTGTTCTTCTTTGACAAAAAGCAAAGGCTGGTGCATGTACCAGAAAGTACAGAGAGGATGAGTAATTTTGCAAATCTAAAATTTTTTACACCAACAAATTGTTGGTTGTGAATTTGTGTCACAGTTGAGATTTATTTAAAAATTTTTGTTTCATAACAAAAGATCATGTTTTGTCAGAGACAAGGCGTTTCCCAAGGGGCAGGAGTCCAGAAATAAAGTTACAACAGTGCCATTTGAATGCCCTTGAATACCTTTTAAAAAATAAATTATCCATTTTGAACAGTCGATACTATGGCTGGCAAGTTAATAATTTGTACAAGGTGTTTTTGGAAATGCTTTGTGGAATGTAACTGAATAAGTTGCAAAACAGCTCATTTCAGGAAACAGTTGGACCTAATTTTCTAAGGTGATGTATTAGAAAATGTGAGCTGAAGGAGTAGGTATTGTACTTCCAGTTAGAATGTGTATTTTTGTGTATGGAATATTTTTGAAACTGCAGTATTCATTGTTTGGTTTGATTTTTGCTTGCTTTCTTTGTACTATAGTAAAACTAACACTTTTTCTTGTTCTCTTTTTCTGAAGCAGATCCTTCTGTAATCCTAAAAAGTCTTTCTCGGCCTTTACTTCAGTTTCTTTTCCTGGTTCACTAAAGACTGTAGTTTCTGGTTAAGTCAAAGATTGCTCTGAGGGTGGAAGAATTGTGAGTATATCTAGCAATATTCGTTGTACTGATTACAAAAAAAAAAAAGGTAACAATGAAAGGTGCCATAATGAACACTTTCTTTTGGTTTGTCTCCCTGAAACGCCTTAATTTCATGCTTTCCCTTTCTAACAAATTGCAAAGCATTCTGCTTGTACTGGTGTACATTTGTGTTCAGTAGTAGTGTGGTTTGCAGCATCCCAAGGCTCAAAAGGATTCTCTTGTGTTAAAATAATCTGTGATTTAACAGAGGCTTTATCCTTTTTCTTTTTGACTTAGAAACCTTATATGTGTCAGATTCCAGGATGTACTAAGCGATACACAGATCCGAGTTCCCTGAGAAAGCATGTGAAAGCCCATTCTTCTAAAGATCAACAAGTCAGGAAAAAGGTAAATTTTCTGCCGTCTTGACTGGTGTAAAGCTTATATGGAGAAGTCGCTATTATGATATTAGATGTTTCAATGCATCTTCGAGTACTTGTGCTGATTTCAGACTGTTTGTTAGAAAAAATGTTAATAGGAAATAGTAGGTTTGGTTTGTATATAGCTAATTTCATCTTTGACTTAATGAGTCTAATGCTTTATGTTTTCATATGTGATGGTTAATTACTAGCCATGCATGACAAGGCAAATAACAGTCATTTTTGCAAATAGAAATTTTCAGTTTTAAATTCTGCCACTTGGTAAATACACAGTATTAAAAAATACTGGCCAGTCACAGATGGAAGGATGGATTTCAAGTCAGCATGTGAGATTAAGCTCTAAATTATATTTTCATATGCCAGACATTTCCAATACCAAGATATTTCACAAAATATCAGTTCCCTGTGGATATCAAGTCCATGAATCAACAACTGTTTAAATGTATAAGTACATCTCTGAAAAGCTGTGATCTAAGGGCATGGTTTTCTCTTTTTTTCAGCATTTTTCATTATACCTTCTGTTAATCACTGGCACTATTTCATTGGATTGTTTAGATCATGAAAGATAAAAGTCTAAGCTTTCAATTTAAAGGAACCTGGTCCTGACAAAAGGGGAAAATGCATGAACTGGTGTAGGGATAGATAAACCTTTGAAATGTCAACGCTATGTTGAACAAGTTATAGTTTAGAAGTTTTAGAATTAAATGCACAGCCATTCATAGCAAGTAGCCAGAAAAGTGCTTCATGCAGCACTGAAAGCCCTGAGTGGCAGTATTTAAAGCTGCAGTATACAAACTGGAAGAGTAAGTTTTGATTCAATGGTTTGTGGAAGCAGCATGTCAATCTCTGAGGAGCTGACCTGTAGTATTCATGAGAAACATCCTTTAAACTTATGAATGCCCACACCTGTATCAGAGATGAAGTAAATAAGCATGCATTTTCACCTTAATAAGTAGTTCTTTGACTCCCTTGTTCCTGTGCATGCTGCTCCGGCGCAGGTCTGCCAAAGGAGGTTTGTCTTGTTCTGCTTGTCCCAGAGGGCCACTCGGCCACCCAGGCACCATCTTTTACAAGCTTGTAAATAAAATGCTGATCGGCTCAATTCACTCTAAGAAATTTGTGTGATGCCTCAACTAAACCTGGCATAATGGACCTGAATACAGGTATCAAACTCCACTGTGTCATTACTGTCATTGAAGGCAAAATAATGTGTTATCGCTTCTTTCATTTTGCTATATTTTACTCCTGTGTCAGATTTTTCTTCCTGAATTTCATTCACTATTTGATTTTGCTCACTTTTCATTCCCTCTTTGTGCCAGACAGCGTAAACTTGATGCTTTTTTCTCCCTGCTTGACTCTCTAGGGGCCCATTCTAGACTTATCCCCCAGTTTTTCATCCCTCTTTGATAAGGATTTGTTTATGCTCATTGGTCACCTGAGGTAACATGGAAGGGGAAATAAGCCAAACCTCCACAAACAGAAAAGAAAAATTGTGGCATCTGTCAAGCCAGATACTTAAAGCCCAGATAAAGTTTGAATAATGTTTATAAGGTACAACCTAGCAAGTTACTGGACCTTAGAGATGTTATAATTACTGACTAACATTATGCTTTGGTATTTGAAATATTTCCTGGCAGTAATAATTATAAAAAATAAGAACAACAAACTTCTTAATTTAGAATTAATGTTATGTATGGATTTAATTAAATGTGAAAATTGGTTTAATGTCAAAAAGGTATTTACAAAAATGTGAATTCATCAAAAATAACCATAAAAATTCCAAGGTGTTAAACGCCCAGTGGACTAATACTTCCAACCCTAGGGATTTATTCTGTTGAAAAGAATGAAAGCCTTTGCTGTCACACCCCATTAGTCATGGGTTCCTTTAATATATCGTGCCTGACTGCTTTTAATCCTCCTTTTAACCTCCCCCTACATACCAAGTGACATTATTGCGGCATCTTAAGTTGCTGGCTCTCGAAGACTGTACCTGCAAGTGTGTCTTTGATGTTGCATAGACTTGAAGAGCAGGATGAAGTATATTCATAATAGTGGAATCAGCTACTTGCTGTGCTGATGTTTTAATTGAATCTTCATCCCAGATTTTTTAGATCTGTCCTTTCACCCTTTCCATGGCTCTCTAAAATGGAGCCAGATTATTCAGTGGAATATAGGTAAATTTCCACCTCTGAATTATTTTAAGTGACATTTCTTGATGTATCTATGGCTTACCAAATAAGGCAAAATGTCTTTTCTCCAAATCCTGTAATGCAGCCACTGTTCCCCTTCTCCCAGCTCCCAGCCTCCAACCATCCATTAAATACATTTAACTGGGAATCTCTCCAGGTAATGGCATGAAATTCTATAGAACAAGAAGATCACAGCACAAATAATTAATGCATTTTAGTGGATAGTGGAATAAAATTTCATTTACTCTTCAGAGGAAAACAGAGCCATGGGAGAGTAAAGACTACCTTGCCTGTTTTAATCATCTTTGTCCAATTTGCAAAATTCTTCATAAAGATGAGGGTAAACATGTACACAAATATTACGCAAATACCTGGGAACAGATGATGAAAATGTTTTTATATACATTTTAGGTATAATCCCTATGCATCATAATATTCAGTCTGTACTTCTAAAATATTTTGGTGGGGTAAAAAGCAGTGCCTATTATCTTACTTTAAAAAGAAAGAATTGCTAACTCTGCCAGAATTTCATCTTCCCATGAGGAAGATGGATTAAGCTTTTTGTAAGCAGGGAAGTCAGTGATAAAAAACTGGATAGTACCCAAAATGAGAGTTTAAAGTGATGCTGAGAAGAGTGCTACTGTACAACATGTCCCTGGACTACAATTACTTTTGAAACCTGTTATCTTCTTAAGCTTGTCCACATTTCAACTTTGAAAAGACAACAAACTTACAAGATTTTTTTGTAAGTTGACTAAACAAGTAAGCTTATTTTCAGTTGGTTACACTTTTTGTTTTCAGTAAACAGCAAATGTCTTTCATCTGTGAACTTATGATACTGTGTTCAAAAATAAGAATCCGTAGCTCTTTTAACTTGTAAGCCTTTTTATTGAAGTTAGTGAAAATGAAATTATAGAATATATCAACAAAATCTGGAGCCTGCACTGTTAGATATCACAGAATCACAGGATGGGTCAGGTTGGAAGGGACCATAGTGGGTCATCTGGTCCAACCTCCCTGCTTAAGCAGGGTCATTCCTCACATTCAGGTGGAACTTCGTGTGCACCATTTTCTGCTCATTGCCTTTTGTCCTATTGCCTGGCACTACCAAGAAGAGCTTGACTCCATCCTCTTGACACCCTCCCTTGAGCTATTTACAGCAACTGATGATGACCCCTCTCGGTTGTCTGTTCTCAAGGCTGAGCAGACCCAGCTCTCTCAGACTTCTTTGAAAGAAAGATCCAGTGACTTGAAATCAGTACAGAAGGTGAATATCACCATTATGTTCTTCTTGAAGATCCATTTTTGTGTGAGCTAGCACTCAGCTTTGTACAAGAACATTCTCTTTTCTGTACAAGTATACTATGAAAATAATTTGCTGTTTCTCTAGCAGTCATGCTGAAGAGGTCTGTATTTGAAAATCTAAAGAAAATATTTTATATACTCACTTTCAAATATTGCAGTACAAGTACCACTGTGAATAGAATGGAATGGGTTCTCCACCGACTTTGTAAAGATCTTGTCATGAATATCTACAGTGTCTAATGCCTTTTTTAAAGGTTTTCTCTTTTTTAAAAAGTGTGTTTTCAAACAGGTAAGAGATAATACAGAAAGGACAAGATTGCTCAGTTTTAGTACAACTGTTTGGCAAGGACAAGATCACTTCAGTAATATTGACCTTATCATATGAACAATGCAATGGTCATACTTTTAGATAGAGTTCTAATTTTATCCATAATTCTAGTAGTGAATCACTATTGTCATGTCTAATAGTTCTTTAAGACAGAGCATCCTGCCAAAAAAAAACACCATGAAGATTTAAAAAGATTGTTTCCCTTTAATTAAAGTATAATAGATCAGGATACAACTGGTTAGCTCCATCTTTGTGGGGGAAAAAAAGGAAAAGATAATTTCAGCACTTCAGGTAAACAATACCAGTTAAAGGGATTGCAAAAGTCTTAGTCTGGACCTTGAATTGAAGGTTACTTTATAGCAAATAATGTCCTCCTTTAGCTGATCAACCTTTGATTCTTTAGCAGTTTTAATAGTGACCAGGCCATGTCTTTGATCTTGTTTTTTAAATTAGTTACGGATAACTGCATAATGTATCTTATCCATAATGAATTTAAACAACAAGATTTGAGACAAGTTTTAAAATATTGAATGATTACCCAACGATTCCATCTGAAAGTTCTCTGTCCTGTAAACCTTCATTATCTAAGCTCATTCAAATAGGTCTTTAGGAAACCATGCAAGGATTCATCTGTCCAAATGGCTTAACACCTCAGCAGATGCATAACATCTTCAGTGATACTCCAAGGTTAGTACTTAGTCTTACTCTAACACAACAGTTGTGTCTATTTTTCTGGGATAAAATCTTTGTACTGTCTCTGCCAGAAAGCAAACATCATGGGCACATAGCTTTGGGAAAGTCAGTCCATAGGATATTTCTGAAAGTTGTCTAGATTTGATGGAGGTTTTTTTAGTTGTAACTTATGTGGTACATCTACCAAATCACTAAGGAATGAAGGGGGTTGTGAGACCTCAGGAGATAAGGGATATATGCACAGACTTCAGGAGGGATTTATTTCTGCCTAATAATCTTCCTTTCTGACACAGATTGGTCAGTTGTAAAATAATGGCTACACTTTTGGGGAGTTGTCATAACCTTATCCCAATGAAGACAGATTACAACATTTGAAGAAATGCTTTGAATGTTTGTTCCTGTGATATCTGTCTGGAAAGAGATTTTTTTTTCAGGTGTTGCTGTTGGGGAATA